TGCCTTAATAAAGGAGCTGTAAAAGATTTACCCACTCTTTCCTCCATAAGCCAAACAATATTTTCAGATCTTATGAAATGGAGATACTGAACATTTTTGAAATGCTAATAGAATACAAGAGGCAGATTTGTTTCCAGTGGCCTTGCCCCCAATATGTGTTCCCTCTCCTTTCCTTCCACAGTTGAACCCTACTGAGTGGCAAGCTTTACAACAGAGTTCCTCCCATTTCTTGAGATGTAAAGAATGCCTAATATTCTGTTTGCCACTTAATTTTGAACAGAAGCTATTACTTGCATTTCCATTGACTCTCATATACTGTTGCCTCTCATATACTGTTGCCCACTGAGTCTTTGGTTTAGAGTCAAATGAACTCAGCCAATAGTTCCAATGTTTATTTGCATCTACACTAGGAGTTTTAATATGGGGATTTCATTTGAGTGAAGTGTTATTTTGTCTACCCATTCCATGTAGGTGGTGAGCCTGGTTTGCCTCCAGCACATTCGACAATGCACACCAAGAATTTCTAGGAGAGGATCCACAAAAATATCCCACCATTTCCTCAAGTTAATTAGACATCATCCACCTTCAGGAACAGAGTAGAATGGCAAAGTACAACTTACAGTAAGGACAATAATGCCCTAAATAGTCTGTCCATCTTTTGAGTTTTTTCTTTCATTTCCAGTTTTAAGTGACTGTACTTCCAGTCCCCCATGTCTCATTAATATTGTACATGAAACATGAACACAGGAAAAGAATAGGTTCAATACATTTCCCACATCGATAAAAAGAGGACAATCTTGAGCTCATTTGCCTCTAAACTTTGATGCTTCCATTACAGCAAGCTCTTCATATTCTCTACATGTGAGAACTGCCTAGGGCACAGCCCCTGAGCCTCATAACATTTTCCAGCATTCATTGAAAAGAAACCTAAGTGGGATTTGAGCAAATTTATACTATTCTGAAATAAGAACTAAATTAAGAATGCTATCTTCCTTCCAAATGTCTTAACATTCTCATCTTGTGCTAGAGAACAGGAATATTAGGCCTCTTAAACCCTAACGGAATTTCAATGAACTGAGATGTTTTCCTTAAATATCCCTCATTATATTATTAATCATACTACTTTCTCTCTTTTTCTCTCCTCCCCAATTAATACATTGTATATAAAATTAATCACTATAACTATTCTGCATAATACACTTTTTTTGCAATTCTTTCTTATTGGAAAGGAACAGGAAATATATCTCCCTGTGGGAAAATGCATTTTCAGACGCTGTTAGAATTCAAAGATGCTAAATGCAGTAGAATATTCATTCATATGCAGTAGAAGTAAGCACAGACAGACAAGGTATAAGAGATATATGGCTTTCTCCAAAATATTTAATACTAGCTCCATTTCTAGTATCCTATTACTAGATAATTGTCATAGCTTCCATAGAGTATCCTAGGAAATATAGCTTGAGATAGCGCAGAGAACTCTCAAAGGATTTTCCCTGCCAAACACAGACAATATATTTTTCTTACAGAACTGCTGTTCTCAGGGCTTCTAGGGCAATTAAACTAAGATACATTTGAGATGTGGAAATGTCCAGAAAGAGATGCATTACTATTTGCTTTAAACCCCAAAGCCCCTTATATACTTTTCAGGTTTGTATGCAGCACATCAACAAGGTTGTGATTTTACATTCCTCATTTTATATAGGTAAAGTTAGGAACTTGATATGTCTCGTGAGGCCCCTGATGGATCTTACGGACTGCCCTAGGCCTTGCATCCATTATTGTTTCCTCCCAGATGGCACTTCTTGGAATTGCCACCATTCTGGAAGGACCAGAGCTGTCCCTTTCCATTTTGCTGGGTGCAGTTGCCAAACCGCCATGCCTGGAATCAATGAGCACCACATTTTGGAGAGGTTCAAAACATAATGTGATCACAATACAAAGGAGCTGGATGGCTCTGTGCAATACGTGAGTGCAGCTGACACCCCCGATTGGGTAAATGAGCACTGTTAGGGAAATGTGGCTGCTTGTGGTCGCTAGTGGCAATGTTTGCATTCGATGGGGGCTGTATGGTGTGGGCAAAGCTGAGCAAGGCATGAAGGTAAACATGGAGATGGTATCAGGAGGTGTTCAACCAGTAGCTCCTGGCAATTTTACAGCATTTTGGTAAAAACCACAATCTAAACTTCCATTAAAATCTGAGGGAGTAAATATCCTGATCACTGTAGGCAGAAAGACTTGAATGTTTCCGTAATAAAAGAAAAAAACAGTTTAAATCAAATACAGTTAATGTGGTACTAGGGGAAAGTATACTATGCGTCCCAAAGGGAGTTAAGAATATAGAAGGACATCTTGTACAACCTCCGAAAAATAACAGATTCCAGCTCTGTCTCTTGTTAGAGTTTTCCAGCATTAAAATATTTATTCATGCAATAACAGTACTCCTTCCACAGAAGAGAAAACTGCACTGTGTTCTAAATGTGCAACAAGCAGGAAAGAGCAGGATATCCAGGATAAGTAATCAGTGAAGGCAGTTTAAATTTAAAGCAGCTACAAATATATGTTTGCAGTTGGCCAGTTTGGTGTAGTGGTTAAGGCTCCAGGCTAGAAACCGGGAGATGGTGAGATCTAGTCCTGCTTTAGGCATGAAAGCTGGCTGGGTGACTTTGGGCCAGTCACTCTCTCTCACCCCCCGAGGTCAGGCTCGGGTGACAAGCCAGTCAGTCAATTCCTGTTGCAACCAATGGATCAACATTCAATTGATCCAAAAAAAGTGGATCCTGCACCTGCGGGAAAAACACTAGGAAAAAAAAATACATACACACTGTCTCTCAGACAAACATATCTAGGAGGCGCAAGGATGCTTTTCGTATCATGACTCTACAACCATAAGCTATGAAGTATCTTGCTTGAACAATATTGCTGCATTCTGTTATAGCAGAGCTAAGCTAACGCTTGAAGGACTACATTCAATTTTCAGTGAGAATTCATTGCAATGAAGATTTATCCCTGTCTCCATAACATGAAGATTAGATAAATAAATATGGAAAATGCTCTTGCCAAGTATCTCTAGAAGGTCACATATAAAAATTTATGTAGCTGAAAATTGAGTGAAATCTTGACTACCAATATTACTGGGTAGCTGACATGTATTTCCTACTGCAATAGCTAAGTGCATCTTCATCTGTAGTCTGATCATATCCCAGGCACGTAGCTGAAGAAAAGAAACTGAGATCATGTACATCTGTAAATGCTATCTTTTCCAACATAGTATTTACAAATTTAATCTACCGAGGTTAAGCCTACCTCAAAGACACATGGGATACAGTGCAAGTGCTTATTTGGCTGGAAGTGGAACAGCAGGAAACTCTTGAATGTTTCAAGGAAAAACAAAGAAGGAACCCAAATCCTTTACTGCTCCTGATGTTTGCAGTGAGGAGGGAGACATTTTTCTCTTGATTTGAAGTTAATGAGATGAAATGCAATGATTCCTAAGTAATATACAAATTCTATTGAGAAGTGTGGCTTCTCAATGGACTGACTACCATAGAAATGGACTGACTACCATATCCTTAGTCTGCATCAAGAAGGCAATTCCCCAAGGGAGCTCTGGGAGATCTACTTTCATAGCATGAAAGATGTCCAGAGGAGAAGAAGTACATGGGAGAAAAAGGAAATATCATGCAACAATGGAAAGAAGAGATCTTTAGTGGAAAGTTTCATGGATGGAAAAGAATGAAATATACCATAGTGGGTATTGCAATTTCCCCAACTCTGACATATTCAGTATT